CTTGAATTTGATCTTATCTGAGAAGCACTTTATCTGTCCTTCCATTCTAAATGAAAGCTTTGCTGGATAGATCAATCTTGGATGGAGGTCTTTGGATTTCATGACTTGGCATACTTCTTTTCAGCCCCTTCTTGCCTGTAAGGTCTATTTTGAGAAATCAGCTGACAGTCTGATGGGAACTCCTTTGTAGGTGACTGTCCCCTTAGCTCTTGCTGCTTCTAGGATTCTCTCTTTCATTTGAATCTTGGATAATGTAATTATGATGTGCCTTGGTGTGTTCCTTCTTGGATCCAACTTCTTTGGGACTCTGAGCTTCCTGGATTTCTTGGAAGTCTATTTCCTTTGCCAGATTGGGGAAATTCTCCTTTATTATTTGTTCAAATAAGTGTTCCACTCGTGGCTGTTCCTCTTCCCCTTCTGGTACCTCTATAATTCGGATGTTGGAACGTTTAAAGATGTCCTGGAGGTTCCTAAGCCTCTCCTCATTTTTTTGAATTCTTGTTTTTTCATCCTTTTCTGTTTGGTCATTTTTTTCCTCCTTCTGGTCTGCACCCTTGGTTTGAGTCCCAGTTTCCTTTCCATCACTATTGGTTTCCTGTGCATTTCCATTCATTTCAATTAGTTTAGCCTTCATATGTTCCTCTAATTTGTGACTAAAGTCAACCAGTTCTGTGAGCATCCTGATCACCAGTGTTTTGAACTGTGCATCTGAAAGTTTGGCTATTTCTTCATCGCTTAGATTTATCAGCTCTGGGGCTCTGAGTTGTTCTTGAGCCATGTTTTGATCTGTTCATGCCTGTTACGTATGAGGAGGTGTTCACCAGGGCGGGGCCACCCAGGTCGCTGGGTTGTGATGCTATATGTGGGGGCGGGGTCAGAGAGGGACAATGGTGGTCGCCTCTGCCACTTTCCGCCACTGGGGCCTGCACTGTCTGTCTCACCACTTAGCTCCTTCACCAGTTATCTGCACTGGAATGTGTGACTGTGGTCAGCCCTCAGTGAGTCCACTGCCTTGCGCCCTCAGTGGGTCTGCCCTCTACTCCACACCTGGGATCCGCCTACAGCTGCCAGCGCACCTGGGTTGGGTGCCTGGGTTGCTCGCCCGCGTTGCTTGCCCAGGTCGGTCCAGTGGATCTTTCTTTCCTGCCCGACTCCGCTCAGTTGCTGGCTCTGCCCCTTTTACCGGTTTGGCTGAAGGGTTCGTTGTTGTCAGACTTCCATGTAGTTCAGTTTTCTGTGGTTTGGCTGTGTTTTTGTTGCTAAAACTTGGTTGTTTTTAAACTTGGTTGCATGAGAAGGCGCAGTGCTTCCACCTACGCCTCCAACTTGTGAGAGGACTTCTCCATCTTGTGAGAGGCGGAAGTCCTCTCACAAGTAATTGAGTCTTGGTTTTCTGACCTGGGGGCCAGTGGCTCTGCCTGGGACCCATTGTTTCTTTTTCTTCACAATATACAAGGCTTTGCGCCTATATGTGTTCATTTCTTTTGCATAAATAGCTAGAAATAGAATATTTATGGCATAGGGTAGGTATTTTTGTAACTTTTTAGGAAACCACAAAACTGATTTCTAAAGTGGTTATACTGTTTTACATTTCCCCCAGCAGCGTGTGGGAGCTCTGATTGCCCCACGCCCTTGGTAACACTTGGTCAGGCTTTGTAATTTTAGCCATTCTAATGGGTATGTAGGGGTATCTCAGTGAGGTTTTGATTTATACTATTGAGCATCTTTTTTCCTATACCTGTTTCCTTCTGTATGTTTTCTTTTTTTTCTTTAAGATTTTATTTGTTTATTTTTAGAGAGAGGGGAAAGGAAAGAGAAAGAGAGGGAGAGAAACACCAATGTGTGGTTTCCTCTCATGTGCCCTGCACTGGGGACCTGGCCTGCAACCCAGGCATGTTCCCTGACTGGGAATTGAACTGGTGACCCTTTGGTTTGCAGCCCATGCTCAATCCACTGAGCCACACCAGCCAGGGCTTGTATGTTTTCTTTGATGAAGTGTCTGTTCAGATCTTTTGCCCATTTTTTATTGAGCTGTTTGTCTTATTATTGAACTTTTGGAGTTCTTTATATTTTCAAGATAGGAGTTCTTTGTCAGATATATCTTCTGCAAGTAGTTTCTCTCAGGGTTTTCTGATCCATGAACATAGTATAACTCTCCATTTATTTAGATCTTCTTTAATATTATTTTTGACAGTGTTTGTAGTTCTTAACATTCAAATCTTGCATATCTATGCTCAAATTTAACTCTAAATATTTCATAACTACTGGTACTATTATAAACTTAATTCCCAATTTATTTTTCAAAATTTAATTCCCAATTTTATTGCTTATATATAAAATATTATTTATATTTATATATTGACTTTATGTCTTGTGATTTTGCTGAACTCACTTATTAGTTCTAGAAGTTTTCTTTTTACAGATGCCTTAGAATTTCCTACATAGACATTCATGTTGTTTGTGAACAAATACAATTTCTCCTCTCCCTTGTCATCTATGTGCCATTTGTTTCTTTTTATCTTATTTCAGTGGCTAGAACTTCTAGTACAATATTGACAGAAGTCTGAGAACAGACATCTTCACCTAATTTTTGATCTTGGGGTGGGAGAACACTCAGCCCTTCACCGCTTACTGCGAGTCTGTCCACCATATCTGTGACTCTGCTTATTCATGTTGTGTTGGCCACTGGAGAGAAACCATTTAATGCTGCCTGTGGACTACATGGCTGTTCAGACCCTGAGCCATAACCATTATTCCCCTGGTAACCTCACAGCATGTATTGTCTCAGGTGAATATAGTCGAGCCTTTTATCATTAAGTGGTGGTAATGCCACCACTTGAGTTTAGAGCCGTAGTTCCTGCCTTCGGCCGCACATGAGAATCAGCTGGGGAACTTCTAAATATCTTGATGCCCAGGCCCCACCCCAGACCAATTCTATCAGTAACCCTGATGGAATGACATACTAAATTACATATTTATCCAGTCTTACCACAACTCTATAACAAAAGAGCCATTGTGATCATTTAATTGGTAAGTCAAGTTTAGAGAGGTAAGTGACAGGACCAGGGTTCCACAGGCAAAGTGAGTCCAGAACCTGCTTGTAACTGAATTGCTTGCCCGTGGCTGCGTTAGAGAGGAAAAAGCTCTTAACCCCTCCTCTCCACGGTTCCAGTGTTGTTTTGGAACTGGTCTCAGAAGCCACCATGTGAGGAATTGTTCCAGTAGTGTGATGGTCCCTTTTACATCTATCCATTTATTTGCTTACCTCTTCATTGGTCTGTACTGAGTTCTAAATATCTGCATAGTATGTGTCAGTCCTAGGAGGAGATAATGAGGATAACAGAGTAGCCAAAATCACAGTACAGTGGCAAATGTAACATTGAAAAGATTATAAGAGGAAGGCAAGAATAGATGCATGTGTAGTGATGCTCAAAAGTCTTTGACTAATCAACCTGAGTATGTGAATGTTCTCTTCTGTGCACCAGTGTATCTGGGCTGGTCGAAGTATAACCCCATTAACTCCCAGCCCCAGCTTTTTCACCACATTTCTCTTATAGTTATGACATGAAGGGGTTAGGCCAGGGTCCAAAAGTTGTCTTTCCCAGACTCCTGAAAATGAATATGGTACCTGGCTCAGTGAAAGGGGCTGGGATACCAACCAGAGAATTGACATTCAGCGAATGCCTACCGTGTTGCATTGTGCCAGAAACTGCCCTGTGTTCTTGCATTTGATCTTTACGGCAGTCCTGAGGGGTAGGCATGACCCCACTGTTACAAGTAGAAAACGAGTGCTGGCAGGGTATCCAAACCTTTTGGCATCTCTGGGCCACACTGGAAGAAGAGTTGTCTTGAGCCACACATTAAATACACAAACACTAACGAAAACTAATGAGTGGGGGGAAAAAAAGGTTTTAAGTAAATTTGTGATTTTGTGTTGGACCACATGCAGCCCATGGGCCATGGGTTGGACACCCCTGTAAAGGGCTCTGTGATCTGCCAGTAGCAGGCAAAGCCAGGTTCAAACACTGGTCTGTCCAGTGCCCAAGCCCACACCTCGTCCTCTGCTCAGAGGCTCCAAAATTGTCTAGAGGGGGACAGCAATTGTGCTTTTCTCCACAATGTCTGAACATTTCTCAACCTGAAGACAGCCAGTGTACAACATGGGGGGAAGATGCAGAAAAGAGAATTGGAAGAGGAATTTTGAAATTAGAAAGGAAGAGATTGGCGTGAGTCAGAATGTAAACCCAGGCTGGAGGTGGGCAAGGAGCTCTCATCCCATTTCCTAGTTCTGTTCTGGAAGGAATTTGGGAGGAATTCAGCTGGGATGCCTTTTCAGTTAGATTGGGGTTCGGAGTTCCAATATCTTTTTTTAACACCATAAAAAACAAAAAGTAAAACACATTTCTGAAATCCTTTGAACTACTTCAAAAGAGGGAAAGTCTTCGTGACTTTTTCCCCAGGAGCGCTTGCAGTTGGAAATGGATCGTTCTCTCAGGAACGGCCCCCTGAGCGGCTGGTCGTCGCTGTGCTCTGGATGACGTTGTCTCCGAGACCCACCGAGCCATACACTTCTCCTGGGCCCACGTTTTGTCACAAGTCCCAGCTGACCTGTTCCTCGGGCTTTCGTGTACACTCAGAGTGTTCTTGGGCAGTGGTGGGTCATTTTCATGTGCACACATTTATTATGTACAAGTAAAAGTACAAGTAAAGGACAGGAAGGTAGAAATAAAGGACAAATAAGGACTTCGTCTCCCCTCGGATCTTAAGGAAATAGGTCAGAAGGGACTGAAGAGAAACCCCTGGCTCCCCCCTATTTCTTTCTCATGCGAGAAAAACGGAAGGCCAGCGAGTTCTACATGTTTTCCCCAAGATCCTGAAGTCACTTGGTGATAGTTACAACCTAAACCAGGACGTCCACCTGTGCCCACCCGGAAGAGTGCGCTCCCTGTCGCAGTGGTTGTCACCTTCCTTATGCACGCGGCTTGTTCTTTTACCCACAGGTTCTTCAGAAACCAACGCCAGAGCTCAAGCACCAGCTGGCTGCCCTCTCCAAGCGAGTCGCCGGCGCCGTGACCGAGCTCATTCAGGCAGCAGAAGCCATGAAAGGTAGGGCGGGCCCTCCCGTGTCCTTTCACGGAGCGCCACCCCAAGGCGGTGCCAGTGAACCGAGCGGAGAAAATGCGCAGCCACACGAGCCCTTTCTTGGCATCGGCAGTCAGAAAAGCAAATGGAGGTAGAGTTAGATTTTAAAAGCAATGTCCTCCCCAAGCAAGTCTTCTCTCCAGTCTTTATGTTAAGAAGTTAAATGACTTAGTCCAGGGGTCCCCAACCTCCTGGCCATGGACCAGTACCAGGACCAGTACAGGCCTATTAGGAACCAAGCCGCACAGCAGGAGGTGAGACTGAATGTAATGAACTTGAATCATCCCGAAACCACCCCCTCCCCCCACTCAGGTCCATGGAAAAATTGTTTTCCATGAAACCGGTCCTTGGCACCAAAAATGTTGGGTACTGCTGGCATAATCCATCTAGAACTGTTCACTTCCCTTTTTAAGGGTATCACCACTTATTTTGTCTGTGTTTTCACTCATCAGAATATTTACTCTTATTTAAATAATACCCTTCATGTTTAGAAAATGGTGCCATCGGGGTGCATTGCTGGCACACCCCTTCATCGTCCCACAGGAGCCGGGGAAAGGTTTCCCCACCCTTTCCCTGTGTTTGAATTGAGGGGAGTGTCCAGTCCTTGTGAATGCCCAGGAGAAGAGCGCAGTAATGCTCTTTGACTGGGCATAGTCTCAAGTCTCCTGAACATGCTTGCTTATAGTCATGGGCTCAAAGTTAGCAGTCAGAGTCACGTTCAAGCTGGCCGTGGTCCATGAGATCTTGGTTTCAAAACTGTCGCTGGTGGCTGCTCCTGTGGTAGGGCTGTGCGCACGGCCAAGGGGAAAACCGGGGTCAGACAGTGCCCCTCAGCTGATCCCCGAGGGCCAGAGAGTAGACCCCTCAGTACAGTGCAGTTAGTGGGCTCATAGAACTTCTCCGCGAGCAAATCCAGATATTGTTTGTAATTAAGCCAGTGCCCTGAGGTGCACAGCTACCAAAGAATGACCCTCTTTGGACTGATTTTAGGAACCGAGTGGGTGGATCCAGAAGACCCAACCGTCATTGCAGAAACAGAATTGCTGGGGGCTGCAGCATCCATTGAGGCTGCAGCTAAGAAGTTAGAGCAACTGAAGCCAAGAGCAAAACCCAAAGTGAGTGTCCATGTGTGTGGCTGTTCGTCTCATGTCGTCAGTAGGCCTTCCGGTGGGCAGCTGTGAAACGAGCTGGGTCTGCTGCAGGGGGCTCGGCCTGTTCCGAGTGGTTAGACCAGCGAGCTGCAAACCGGCTCCCCCTGCCCAGCACCTTTATGAGGCCAGCAAAAACCAGTGGGAGAGCCTCGAGGTTAACCACCCAGAGAAATACCTTTGGATGTCCATAGGAAGAATTGGGCACTTACGATCTCCATTTAGTTCCATTATATACAAAGCAGGTATCGGATGCTTCCTTCAAAAAGTCCCTATTACTGAATGTGAGATTGTCACCCTCCAATCTTCCGGTTTCTGTATGCCTTTAGTAGACAAATAGCAACACCAGGTCTCTCCTTTTCTAAGAATTGAAGGAGGGCCGTGCGACTCTCAGAAGTATACCTATAATCAACTTTTTCGGTATATGCTGGAGACTATGATTAGATGGTGTATATTTTCCAGCTACATTTGTCATCTGGATAAGTATTTAGAACTTAAGACCATGAGTATATGTTAAGAGAAATAGCCACTAAGTTTGCGCAGTAGGGGGGACATTTGTTACGTGGAAAGGACAGTGAGTTTGTGCTGTCCAGGGGCCAAGCCCGACCCTGTTAAGAAACTATAACCTCCCACCCAGCTCTGCCCTCCTCCCACCATGAGAAGGTAGTTGAACCGGAGGGGGCCTCCTTTTCGGTCTATTCAAGCAAGTCCCTTCTGGTGCCTGTAAACTTACCTCCCTTCCAAGGACTCAAATGCACTGGCAAATAAAATCGGTCTCTTCCCCTCAAAAAAAGTGGAGTCCCTCGGTGCCCGTCTACCTAAAACTCCACCTGTGTTGTCAGACCGAAAGGCGAAGCACGAGCGCTGGGATCCGCCAGCCCACTCGAAAGCGGTGCCTGGGTCCACACCGCGTGGGAAGAACATGTGGCCCCAGTGACTCCGTTCAGCTGCGGGGCCTTCTTAAAACCAGGGGATTCTTGGAGCCCGATTCCTCGCAGTCACTCTAGACGTGGCAAGCACACTTGAGTTCTTTTCTCACCAAAATGTAATTTAACCCACTCGGGAGCGGAATGTGGCTATAGGAGCAACTCTGTTTTCTGTTATGTTTGTGCTTTGTAAATCAAGCTCATTGTGAATGGAAAATGTACTTTCAGCTGAAGAAGCAAATAGCAACCACTGACGAACATCCACAGGCCTCGTGCTTAATTTGTTTTTCCCCTTCCAAACGTGGTTTCCACACAGGTGGCCTCTCTCTTCTGTCTGCTAGTGCCGAAGGCACGTCAGCTGACACATTCTCCTTGAGAATTAGCCTGGTGCCAGTCTGACACTGACACGCCACCTTATTCCAGGAGCCCCTGTCCCGATCCTGCTCCCGTTGTCCTTCTGCCAGGTCCCTCTGCGTCCTTGTTGGTCTCTGAATCTGGGTTTCCCTCTGCCAGCCGTTTACTTACCTGACGATTTTTGATCTGAAAAGCAAAGTTACTAGAGTTCCTTCCCCATAGGATTGTTGTTACAACAAATGAGCTAATTTAAGGACGCAGTGCCTGATGAGCAGTAACACTTAGTAAACTGTATCCCTGTCACTGAAAATAGGCTTCTGGGACTTTTATCTACTAACCTCCTAGGAAAATGCCTGAAATAAAAATTATTCCACAGAGCCATGAGCTGATGGCCTACACAAAAAGAGAAAAGAAAGAGCGAGCAGAACAAAAGCCCCCTCCGATGGGTGCCCAGCATGTGCCAGGCAATCTTCCAGGGCCTTTACATGGATTCACTCATCTGGGCTGTGCAGCCAGTCCCTGGGGCGGCACTGGTACCGGCCCTGCTCTGCAGAACCAGAGGCAGGCGGCCTGGCCAGCGTCAGCGCCCAGGCGGGATGGAGCTGAGGGCAGTGCGTGGGGGCTCCCGCTGGGTGGCAGTTCTAGTCCGCGCCTTTCCTTCCGGCCCACCCAGTGTCAGAGAGGCTGGTGCATTCCCCCCCCCCAGGTTTGGGTTTGCCTGCATCCTTTGACCCGTTAATCCCGACTCTGGAATCTGTCCTGAGGAGGAAACCTGGAGAGGAAGAGTGCTGGGCCGGGGGGCGGGGTGGGGGGGGGTGTTCCTTTCTCCCTCGTTTGTAGCGGTGAGAAGCTGGACGTGCCCTGAGTGTCTCCTTGAAGGAAAAATACTCAACTCTTAAAAACAATGGTTGATAAGACTGTGTAGCGTTAAGAAGATGCTCACAGCGTAATGGAAAGTTTTAAAAAAGGAACAGAATGCAGAATTGCGCGCTCGTTATGGTTACAGCTCTGTGCAGACCACTTGCGTGTGAGGGGACAGGTGGGGAATGTGCAGAACGGTGGGGCTGGGGCGATGGGGGGGGCCTCTGGTTTCACAGTAAGAGCACTTATTAGAGATGACGGCTGAGCGGCACGTGGGCACTTCCCACACTGCTCGGGACCGTGTAGCCTTTGTGTTTACAACGTTTTTTGTTTGTTTTTGTCTTTTGTCTTTTTATATGCACAGCCGAGGTATCCTTTGGCTAAGGTCGTAGTTAACCTAACTGTTGATTTGAGTCCCTCCGTTTCATTTTGGCGCTCCCTGCTTCAGGTCTCTCCCATCTTCCTGTCAGGAAGGGTGCTTGGTACTTCTCGGGTGTTGGAGAGTGATCTGAAGTCCCTTTCTGCCCCGTGACCAGAAGCCCCCACCACATAGCTTATATCAGCCAAAACCGAGGCTCGTGAGAATGCCGTCTATTTACCAGGTGGGGTGCTGCCTGACTCATGAATCAGTCAACAAAGCCCAACAGCACCACACACACAAACCCAAAACCATGGTTCGTGCCTGTCTGCGAAGGCCATCTGGTTTGGGGGAATATCTGCATGAAATAAATATCTTCCTTGGCTTTATAAAGGAATTTATTTCCCCAGGTTAAAAAAGAATCCCATTTTTACAGCCAAGTCAACCAGTCATTTGAGATTACTCACTTTTCTCCATTCCCTCTCGTAACCTGAAAAGACAACAGAAATGAGGATGCTGAGAATAAGCCATTGCCAGGGCATCCCCATTTCTCTAACTCTGTACACAACGCACAGGCCCCCGGTAGGGAGTGAACGCACTTTCCTTCCAGAACTGGGCCGCGCTCACACTGCTCTGAGGAATACTTCTGGGTCTGGGCAATGTTTTTGCTTAAATTATTTTGCTCATCACGTCCTCAGGTTGCCTGATTTAAAAGTAGAATAGTCTGTGGTTATGAAGATGATTCCTGGTTTATCCCTGCTTCAGGCCCTTAAAACTTAAGTACCTCTTTTTGCCTGGAATCTCCCAGACATGAATAACGAACAAGCTTGCCCTTTTGAGTCCACCGTTTGCGTGGGAAGATGGTCTAAAGGCAAAATGAGCGTGTCGGTGAGCTCTGGCGCGCATGCCTGCGGTATGGCTAATGGCGCCAGTTCCCCGCTGGCAGACAGACCGCGCTCCGCAGACAGGAGAAGGGGGTGCAGGGTGGCCGCCCTGCCGCCAGCGCAGCCTGCGGCTCTGTGCCTGTTCTCGAGCTCAGTCAGACCTGGATGCCTTTTCTGCAGGCCTCTGTGTGATATGTTTGATATATTAGGTTGTTATTTAATCCAACTATATATCAAACATATTCCTACAGTGTCTTGCCCTGTCTCCGGGGGTTCCTGATACAGTTTATAAGGCAACAGGAAAGAACATGTTAAAATCACAAGGAGACATAGAAGGTGGAAGGTCCATTGCATTTCACTATGTTACATTCCATTTCTTCTTGTAGCATTTGAAACCTGTATCAGTATTGCTAGTTTATTTTGTTACGAAAGCAAATCATAGTTATTGATGTTTCATAAGAGCCTGAGATACTGTGTGCGGCTTAGTTTCTGCAGTGGTGAGTCCCTCGAGGGCCACACTCATCGGAAAGCTGGCAGGTCCCACCCGTGTCTGTGACATGAAATAAAGGTCAGGACTGTACCCTCCAAACACATCTAGGTTCATATTTCATGTTAGTTCGCTTTCACCCTGATCTTCAATTTAGAAATTATGATTTTCATCATTGAATTTTCAGCCAAGACACAAGCACAAATCAACTGTCTGACTTTCCTGCCCACCCACAGCAACAAAATGTGTGAACCAATCAGCCACACCAGCTGTGTGGATGGTGACTCACTGGGCTTCACGCAGACCCTGATGAGGACTGAACGTATCTAGTAGAGATAATGAGGTGTGGACTGTGCTCTGTCTGTCGAATTTCCTGTTATAGGTTAGCTTGTCAGTAGAAGTTGACAATATTTAGACTAAGCCGACAATCAGAAAGTAATTCCATAGCCTAATTGGGTGCAAGAGGAAGTTCAGGATTATGAAATATTTTTTCTGGCACATAACTGCCTTCGCTGGCTGACTTTGACCCCTTCCTCACAGAAGAGCCTGTGAAGTACGTGTGAGTACATTCCGATCGCTCTCAACACAAGCCTGTGAGCACTGCTCCCTGCAAAGAGAACTAGCAAGCTCATAGCTCAGCTTTGGGGAGGAGAAAAGAAGTGTGCTTTTAGAGCCCTCCTGGGTGTAGGCAATCCCCCCGACAGGTGGCGAGCTGGTGGTTGAACCGGTGGCTCAGGAAGGCTTCCTATGGTAATGTGTAGGAGCCATCGCTGGGCTGCTTGGGGTGAATGCAGAGTGACAGGCCCCAGTGGTGGCAGGAGCAGAGAAGCGATGACAAGGGGGTGGGGGGGACACGCAGCGTGGGAGTCCCGGCTTCAGGAGCTGAAAAGTAGAGCTCGCCCTTGGCAGCTCTTCCTTCCCACGGAAAAGTGGTCCGGCAGTGTGTGTCGGCAGGGACGCTTTCAGACGGTTTTCAAGGCACCGCCAAGATCGGTGCCACCTTCACTCGCCAGAAAACATCTTTTGGGGTTTTCAGTGCAGTTTAAGCTGTTTGACCAAATGGCGAACGGTCAGGGAAAAGAGGCAGCATGTTCTTG